TTGTACTTGAGAAGTACATAATATTGGCCCAGGTCTTATCTAGTCGGTTTTTAAACTCATTAACTGTTTTCGCTTCAACTACTGTTTGTGGCAAAGAATTCCAGCCCTTCACAGTTCTAAAGCTGAATGACTGTCATCTGGCCCTATTCTTAGCTAATGGTACTTTGACTTTATACTTGTGTCCTCTTGTTGAGCTGTCAGTACTTTAAAAAAGGATTCTAGTGGAAGTCTCTCCAGCCCCATTACAAGCTTAGCTTGTACAGCTGAATCATGTTACTCTTCCTGGAGTCCGTGTGATTATGTAAATTGCTGTGTGGCTAATACGAGACGAGGGTTCACCAGATCTGCATTTGAAGTGAACAACCAACTTCAAGATATTAGTATTTGGGCCGTCGCACCCCAAGGCATGCCACGAAAGGTGGCGGGTTCTTAAACGTGCATTGGGGCTTTTCCCAAACAAGGGACCGCCATTTAAGGTGGCAGAACACAGTATTTATGGGCGACCCCCGGGTCGCGGGTATAGAAAGTAGTGCAGACTAACCTCTTGCATCCTGGCTAGAGCGACTTATGTGAGAGGTAGCCATGGGTGAACTGCGCTGTTTGGTATAGAAAGGTATCGGCTTGTACACCGTATGAGTTGGATTGTGAAGATTTCCCTGTTCGTGTATAAATGTGCGGCATTACGCAACCACGTTCCAGGGTGAGCCGGCTGCAGTTCCGTTGACCCCGGTAGAGGGCCAAATCAAAGTGGTCGTTATTACGTTAAAAATGATAACTTTTTTGGTTTTCAGTTATTTTGTAGAATATAGCGTATATTTCAACATATTAGTTGGCCGTGATTGTCTAGTGCACCCTACTATAATTTTTACCGCGTCGAAGTGAGTCACTTCGGGGTGCTTAGCTATAGGAATCCCCATAGGGCGATAACTGTGTTCTGCCACCTTAACGTCATTTCCAATGGACGTCCCTAACAGAGCTAGGAACTTATTTTCACCTGATTGTGTAAGTATGGAAAGTCGTGCAAACTTCCTTTTCCAAGGATACATATCGAGGTGTGTGTTGCTTTACGACTTAAATTTCAGCTGCCTGCAGCAGTTGCCTCATGTCATCCGATCTACTGCTCGCTGCCCCCCTCCCCCGTGTTTTTTGATGTCACATAGGGTATAACAAGAAATGGGATAGATTGACTAGTAAACTTAGATCGGCAAACAAGATGTGAATTGCAGGAAACTTCATCATGTCTAACCTTTATCGGTGTACTCT